CAAAAACTCAAAAATCCGCCTCCGGGCCAGGCCACCTACGGAACCGCAAAAAAAGATGTTACAAACCAAAAAATTAAAAAACACGAATTTTTTTTTTCACTTTTCACTTGCCGATTTTAGACGGGCACGTTCACGAACAGGTGTTTTCCGTAGTATTTTTTACAGTATTTTTTAAAGGCGAGCGTCACGACCTATCAAAAGCAAGAGGCTTTAAACGAAAAATAATCCCCCCCCCCAGCTAAACCTGTAATCTTTTACGAGTACCATCCGGACGATCATGCCCCAGCACCTTCGGTACGGGCGAATTTAATATTCCCCATTTTATTTTTTCTATACTTTACAATCTGCACTTTATATTCTACACTTTATACTCCACATTCTACACTCCACACTACATTCGACGCTTTGCACTTAAAACTCCACATTCCCATACCTACCGCGCAAAGTGACGATAGAGGTCTCCAAAGTACTTTGCTAACTACGAAAAATTTAATTTATCTTCTAAAAATATTGCCAACATATTACATCTTTTATATAAAACGATTCTCGGCAATTTTGTAATTGTATAGGAATATCAAGAAATGCCACGATATCATCGAAAAGGAGAGGTTTTAGAATTTCCCCCCAAAATATAATTATGGTTATAAAAAATCAGATTATCGAGACGAAACATGTTGTACATTCAAAAGAAAGATTTCGTGCGAAAATTCCTCAAATTTTCATATTTTGTAATTTCAAAATCGATATTTTCCCACGATTTTTTTTTCATAGTTATTAAAATTTGTTATCTCAAAATTAATATTTCGTATAAGGCTTCCATCAATTTTCATCACATTCCCCAAAATGATACCCGTCACCACTTCATACAGACCTGACAACGCAATTCGCGCAAAACACGCAACACGACGCGTCTAAAGTGCTGACCTGCTACGCAAAATATCGCAAAATGACGATGGAGGTCTCCGAAGTGCTGCACCTACCATGAAAAATACGATTCATTTTGCGAAAATGATATAAAAATATTGCGCCTGCCCCACTACACGATTTCCGATTATAAAATATATTGCAATCTTACGAAATGCCACGCCCACCATGCCTGCCACATGAAATGAACTTTATACCCTCACGATATTCACTCGCAAAAAATTGCGGACACTTGCAGACGGTTGCGAACACTTCTGGACGGTTGCGGACGATTGCGGACACAAATGCAACGTCGAATGAAAGCATCTCCACCCCCGGACTCCCAAAATAACATGAAAAAACATATTATTAACTTAATGTATATATATATATATATATTATACAAATACAATACTATATATTATTCAAAATAATACTGGATATTAATATACATACATTCCAAATTATATTTAAGTTTGTATAATATTCATGATAATAAGATGTAAAGGTAACATGATCCATTTTCCTCTCACTTGTGGCTATAATTTACGGGGTGGAGGAACCCTGGCAGATGAAGTGAACAGAGCAACACCTAGGGCCTAGTCTTGTCCAGCTTGGACAGCCATCTCAGAGAGCAAATCCTCTGGCGCGCATTTGATCATTTGCTTCATCCTAGGCATCCAGAACCATTTTACTCTGGGGTTACAGTCCTTACATCTTCTGGAATCGAAATCACAATTCAGTTGCGCAACTACCTACCACAAGCGAACTACACACCGGTCTTCCTCTTAGCATAGGACCGGTCTTCTTCTTCCTCTTCCTCCAGGTAGTACAGCAAATTGCCCAACATGCTCTGGAAGTTTAACGGCCTCGCGAGAAGATCATATAGCTATGGTACTACGCCACCAGCATAGGGATAGAAGCAACAATATGGTGATAGGTATTGATAGGTTCAAACCATCTAAAAACTTCAAGAGCATTAAATGGGCTGGTGACTGTGAGCGTCCATGTGCCAAGCATTGGTGAACTGCAGGGCACCGGAGCATGGCCAGTGTGTTGGGAAACGTACGGGGCTCCGTCCCCCCAAGAGCTTTGACCAAATGGGACGTTTGCAAACGTGTTTTTTCCAATGGTGAAACCACCAGACCTTTATTGGTCTCCGCCCTGACCATTGAACATTTGATGCCAGGATGCCCAATGACCCGACCTTGTCATCTCGGCGTATACCAGGGAGGATGTGGCGGCCGCCTAGGGAGAAACCACCAGCAAACGTCTATAGACTTGTGGCGTTTGTGACATATGACATCCACTTTGGAATGATTGTCTGATGGGAAAACATACTAACTAATGTTTTTGAAATTTCATCCAGCTACGGGTCGATTCAAACATGGTGAATTTATTCCATTTTTGTGCAATTTTCATGGAACATTGATGATGTACTACGAAGACAAAAAAACGCGCCCAATGTGAAACAACCCCGTTTGAGCAGCAGTCCAAACCGCATCATCGGTATAGAATCAACAACAAGCGGGACGCAATTTTTTATATCGTAATAGAATGGCGGATAAATATAGATATGGGAAATCCACCATTTGTAGATCACAAACCAACAGCGGGTGCAAATCTCTCTCCATCGACCTCTCCGAGAGTGCAGTCACAGACTGCAGGCGAGCAAACGGTCCAGCCCCAGAAACGGTGTGTCAGCCAGCGAGCTCTGTGGCAGTGTTCATAATGATTTATCACAAGCTTGAGGACCCTCTAGTCACAAAAACAGGGTGTTCCCGGGGGTTGACATTCATTGGAGGGAGTAGATGGTGGTCCGCTGTGACTAGTAGCTACTTACCAGGGACCATCATAACTCCTTGCCACGGCACAGTTTGTAGTCTAAGAACAGCTCCTCTCCCACACGCAACTCACGAAGCGCCTGCCATCTCGAGCAGAATTGTTAGGATGCGAACAGCAAGCCATATCGGATTTCTGGGGTGGAATTTGGACATGTGCACCCCATGTCATGTTTGTTGAAACATGTTGAAACACACCCAGTGTATATTCTGTTGATTAAGAACATGTTCTACCCCCGTTGTGCTTGGTTCTATACCCCCATCATCCCTATTTTTGGCAGCTTTATCGCCATTAAACACCTATTTTCATTGCGCCTACATCACCACAGTATTCCCAATATAAGTTATGATGTATGATTGGTTCTATTCCCTATCATCCCTATTTCAAGACATGATATCACAATTAAATCATTATATGCCGACTGTATCAATATTCCCATAATACAATCTTTTTTGTCGGTTAAGTCATGTTAAGTCCCAATGTTTGATGAGTCTGTGTCAACCTCACCATTGTACCATCATATCCACATGACTCATCACCATGATATAAATATATATATCATATATATATATACACATTATATCATCACAGAATGATTGGTTGGTTTTACATGCTCCCCATTTTTGTTGCTTAAATCCTTCATCTTCAGCACAAATCTCAGCTACCTCCATGGCCACGGTTGGAGCTCGCATTGCGCCATGCGCCCTGCCCTGTGGCACGTTCACAGGACCTGAACCAAAAGAACTTGGAGGAGCAGCCAAGTGCTGCAGAATTCCAAAATGATGATAAACTATGATAAACTGTGATATACTGCTTGATGGGCGGTTAAACAGCAGTGCGTGATAATAAACCTGTTGATATGTGGTTGTTAATTAACTGCTTGGTCGAATTGGTGGGTGGTTAGCATAAGTGTTTGCTAAATGGTTGACACGTGGGCTTTGACACCATTGGAAATGTCAAGGTGGCCAAAAATAATGGTTGAGAATCCCTTCCCCTACAGCAAAGAAATCCCGAAAAGGATAGACAAGAAGCCATTTGATTCTTTCCCATAATATTCAATAGCCGCAAATGAAAATCTTGTGGAATGTATTGGATCTATTCATCGATTGGTGCCCCAAATGTTGGAGATATCATAATATGATCAATAGATGGGATTATGAATGAGAAGTGCCCTCAATGTTCATTGCTGGATTAAGTTTCAAAGGTACCTGTTAGAATTGCCTACAGTATCATTCACATGTCATTCATTTGCTTGGCTGAAAACGACAATTCGCAGGAAGCCCTAGTGTATTCTGGGAAGAAACCAGTCCCAAACTGGGAGCAGTTTGGGGGCATCGTCAACTAACTCGGACGCACGGAAACATACACCCGGGCGGAAAAGAACAAATCCAGGATGCAACGATCAACGGCTTGGTACCAACTGAGCCATACGCCCAGAAAAATACGTGCAAATCTCAATATGGTTGTAAAATGTTGCAAATGTAAATCTGGTTGGTGGTTTCAACCCTCTGAAAAATATTAGTCAGTTGGGATGATTATTCCCAATAAGAGGGAAAATAAAATTCATGTTCCAAACCACCAACCAGAAATAAACACGCCACAACTATACATGTCATGCTTTCCCCTCATTCTTATTACGTCGTATGACGCCGAGGCACTCCAGGTGCGATCCAGATACCAGAGACCCTGGTGCAGCCGACTCACCGCCCACGTCTCGTCCAGGGGCCTCGCTAGGGGCCGTTGGAGGCAGATATCTGATGTAAAAATCCTATAATGTGGGTAAAACAATGCCATTTGGGAATGGTAACCACCTATTTATGGTGATTTGGGGTATAGATTCAATCCGGATGAATGTGTCTGACCATGTCTAACCTATAAATACAGATGTTGAAGCTCTCCGACGCGTACCACAAACCGCAGGGTTCCAACGGACGCGTGCATGGTACCTCAACGAACCCACAAACCACTGGGACCCAGGCGTAGGATTGGCCCTGAGTACAGTAGTAGATTACATTAGATTCCTAGTTTTGAGGTCACCAAAGCTGCATGTCAAAGCCTTAAATCATTCTAGCACAATCTTGCAACGATGCAGATGACGTGTTATGATCTAACATGGCACAAAATCACGAAATCCCAAACCTCAAAATCTCGTGGTTGTTCTGCAAGGTCACTGCCCTCAAGTTTGGAAATCGCTCGCCAAGGATCTCACTGATTTCCAGAATCTGAACATTTGCTTCGATGCCTTAGCTTTAAGCAACCACTCCAATCACGCCAATCTCTCAAGTTCAGCTCATCCTTTCCCCCAATACTAAACACTCCGAAGAAATCATGGTTTAGTAGGGAATTAGAACACCTATTTGGGACCCAATGACCCACGCGGTGTTTTTTCAGAACGGGATGAGACTACGACGACGCAACCCACGGCGCGCTCAACCGAGGGACCCTGGGGCGGATGGTTCACCAGCTGCCCAACAGCGAAAGGACTTTGGAGCCCAGCCTCCAGCCATGCCCATCAAATCGGGATAATTTCATAGGAATACGAATAGAGATAAACATTGTATAAATATATATATATATTATATATGTATATATATACACATCCGTAAAGTTGTACAACTGTATCTATCTAAATAAATAGTATATATATATATATTATTATATATTCAGGAATATTCCTAATCAACTTGACATGATATGTGGGTTTGTCTGAAGTCTGAATGGTAGATTTATAACCAATATGTAGCAAGTTGAATAGGGAATATATGGGAACATTATGAGTCACCAGTGGATTTCGGACAGCCTATCTTCAGACATACTGAACTCTCTTCCGGCAAACATAGCCATGGTATAGATGGCCCATAGAAATAGATGATTTTCCCAGCTAGAAACCTCCATTTATTTTTGGGATTTTCCATGGCTATGTTAAATAACCAGATGGCATTTATTAGAGAAATGAAAAGTACAAACGTCTGAGTCTGAGGGTAGATTGTGTATGTTCTTGCTCTTCTGCACATGCTGATTGCCTGGCAGTCGTGCGCATACATGCTGCCTTCCAAGATATTCCAAGCATACCTCCACGAAACCACAGCATGATACGCTATGCTGTCGCGGCACTCGACGCACGCGTCGCTCAGCTTGAAATCCATCCTTAGTGGACAACAGTGATTTTGCACAATGTGGTCTGTTTCTATCGTTTCTTGTTGCAACAATCAGCCAGACCGAGTCTCTAGGATGCCACCGTCGCAGAAGAGTCGGTAAGCTACCTGCAGTGCCAAACCCGTGTGGAACCTCAAAAGTGGTATGACTGATATCTGGGGAAATTCAGCCGCTTAGTCCAAACATATCATCAATGCTCGCATTTTCTAAATCGTAAAGCAAACAACGATATAGGTTTTTATAACTCTGATAACTATGTTTTATCGATGTTTATCGTACATAATATTCACGGGGCTTATAAAGCAATCAACATGACTGGAGATCTGTCTTGACAAACAACGCAGGAAACCATCAATGCGACGTCCCAGCTGCGCGCTGAGATGCCACATCTGCAACTTCACATCCAGCTAACTCAGGATCCACCTAGGAATAGGACAGCCAGTGGGAAATCATGGGAAATCATAAGTTGAACTGGCCGAGAACCAACATGGGTCCTTCTGCAGAAGAACATCTTGTATCACAGCACCAAAGATGTGACATGTTTCCATTTCAGTTTCGGGTGTCGGAAAAACACATTTCTATGAACACAAAATGAAAGAGATCGGGCCCAGCAAACCAATCACCACCATAGGGTGTGCATCCCAAGTAGGAGCTGCCAACAATAACCAGCTGGAACCATTATCATCCCAGGTACCCAGTGACTAACAAAGCCACCTCCACGTTGCTTTAAATTGTCAAAGCTTTGGGGCACCAAGTGGTTACCATCCGCCACAAGACCCGGAAGATAGGCACTACTTTCAGGTTGGAAAACATGGTCTCCCAACTCCCAACTCATGGGCAAAGCCGATTTGTTGGTTGGGGGATGGTATGATAAATATTGCTCTTATGATAATCTCAATGATGATGATGATGATGATGATGATGATGATGATGATGATGGTTGATATCATAATCCAAACCCCTAATCCCATTTCCCTAGATTATATGATACAAAATGCACCCTACAATAGCCATCAGCAATCCCCAAGTGTAGAAGCACCGCAAGCGTAAAACACCGTGATCCCCAGCGAGGCACCGCTTCTGGGCCGTGAAGGTCCATCACAGTCACCCAAGAACATCTGAGCGGTGAGATAAGGTTGGCCCGTCCCAAGCCGATGTGGTGATTGGAGGTTTATGGCACTGGGTTTGCCGCAATACTCCAGGGACCGGTTTCTGCTACTGCGATACCTATCACGTTGCTGGATTTGGGGGCACCTGGGCTTTTTGGACAGCGGCGTTTCGCGTTTCGCATTATATTAAAAGTTAGCATAATGCTTATTGGAACAAAGGCTGAGAGCTTTGACCGTATGAAAAGAAACCCAACTTTCTTCTTTTGCAACGCGACCTTTTCCACCGGCATGCCCCACAACAAAAAAAAATCCTGTGTGGACTGTACTGTCATGCGGATTTCTGCCCAGGGGGATTACCAAACTGCTCGCTTTGCTGACACACGCTCAAAATGCTAGCAAAGCTGCATGTCATCGTCCAAGAAATGGGCCCTTGGAACCTAAGCTATGCATGGGACAATCAATCACTGTCGGAACTCCGGACTGTGTGATCAGGAACATGACTGGGACATAGGCAATTTCAAACACCCTAGTTGGTTGATTAGGGGTTTAGTATGGTTTCGTGACGAATATATCGGAGAATATCGCAATCCATCTGGGAACCCTCATTAACCAATCATTAGTATCCAGTAGTGGTATATTTGGTTTTGCTCACGTGACTCTTGGTCTTTCGCATCACCTCGGCTGTTCCGTTTGGGCTGCCAACGTTCGGAAACCAAACACCCGCATAGAGGGCCACCAAAGCGCCAACCTTGGCTCGAGCTGCCGAGCACCTTCCATAAAACTTTCAGAGCGCACGAGAAACTTACAGTACCCAACAAACCTACCCTAGAATGAGATCACAACATAAGCTCTTCACTGGTTGGGGAAGAATTGTCTTTGGATGTCTTTGGGCTACAGTCACACACTTTGGCCAAGGCGCAGGCGCGTCAGAAGCAGAAACAAACACTCCCTTGCCACAATCTGGAGCGATCTGTGATTGTCGCACGCTCACCTCGAAGAAACACGTCGAAACAGAATAGGAAGAGGCCGGGGTGCGGATCGAAGGAGGACCATTTGGGGGGTCCAAAGCACGGCTGAAACATTGTTGAAGTCCAAAGCAACTAGTGATTCGATTGACGAACACTGTTTGTCCTACCAATCCAATTTGCGCACTTCTGTTTTGTTCCGGAGAACCTTCAGCCCCCGGCCTCAAAAGCATGAAGGCTCTTTCCCTACAGGGGGCTTTGCAGCGTGAGAACCACACATTTCAATCCAAAGACCTATTCGCAACGTCAGCTGAACTCCATCAGCCCAGCAGCCACATGTATTGAAGTACAACCCTTCGTTTCCAAGTTCTTCACTTAGTCTCAATCCATACTTCAATCTGAGAATGCACAATCTGCGATAAGCACCCCACTTCTTTGACTCGTCATCCACGCAGGATCATGGCACAACACTCCTTGATTTGAGAGACTTCAACAATTCAATCACCCACAAGCATGGGATACCTATAGATATCCTCATCAGTGGACGTGCAACGGCACCTTGGCCAAGCTTTCGGCTTCCACAATGGAACCACTGCCAGCGCTGTAGGACCGGGCGCATGGCCGTGCTGTCAGAGTAGAAAGGGACCAGCGGCAACCTGAAAACAACAAGAAAGTGACCATTTGGGCGCCCGGGTCATTACTAGCTGGTTATGGTATCCAAATGGCTTCAAACCAATTGGCAAAGCTATTTGCAATTTTCGAACCAACTAGCCAGTTGTTATCCACGCCCGAAGCAGATGATCCGTTTGGAGGAGCACATATCCAACTTCTACTTCTACCAAGAGACCCACTCCAAGGCAAGCTGCTGCTCTCAGGAACATTGCTTTTTGCAAAGGCCCAGGTCCTCCAGAAAACATGCCAGCACTCTGCACTAATGTTGCAAGGGATAAAATAATATAGAATATATCCCTGCTCCGCTCATTGTTTGCTTGCCTCAAATGTTGGGATGGACTGTCCATCTTTGGAGCATGCCATAAGTGGCCGGTAAGGTCGGTTGTTCCTCTGCCCAACGTGGTTCTGAAAAAATAGAGTAATGGCATCACAAACACAATGATTCAGTCACGTCACCATTAGATCATATTAGATCCACTATATAGTCTATAAGAAAAGATGTGGTGTTCGCAAAAAAACTATCAGGCTTCAAACATGGTTTGAAGGTTCACCAATAGCAGCTTGGGAACATCGAGACATATGTTCACGAATATATATATAGTTATATATATATATTATGGCCGGAAAGAATGTGTCCCTTTGGGTGCAGCAAATTCCGAACAAAGTCATTGAGCTAACGGCAACACTTGGACATTGATATATAACCTGATAAATTGAGTTGGCCACGCAGATTAGCAATGCGACGGTTGTTATAATTCCAGTCTCGTTGTCACGAAAGAATCTCTGCCCCGTTGACAGCTCTTGTTCCTTTGGGATCTCGGGCGGCTCCAAACCCATGAGTTTCATATATGTTTTTCTACATATTTCTAGTGAAATTCGCCTTGGCCTGTCAAACATTGAAACCATGCAAACCGGCACCACTTTTCAGTTTTCACATGGACTCCTGTGAATCGTGGCATGTTTTCAAGGGTGAACCGTGGTGAACCAAAGCCTGTAGTGAAGATGTCATGTCGAACATGTCTAAGGATTCAGACCCAGTCCCTTCATCCATTCCCATCCTCGGGGCTGACAGGATCCCAGAATTTCTTCAAACGTCTCGCCATGGTGTCCGAAGAAGCTGCAGTTTTGATGGCCGTGTCTCAGTGTCTCAAGATGGGGGCACGGGATACCCCAATGTGTAGTGACCGTAAACCATCAGGTTTTCTATCTCCCAATTTTGAGACATCGCCTGCTGTGCATGAAAGCTTTGGCATTCACGGAACTCCCTCTGCCCTCGAGCGGACTGGCAGCCGAAAATCGGGCCGCCTTGGGATGGTTTCGCTGTCGCTAGGATAGGACGACTGCTTGTGTTGAACCCCTCATTGACAAAACATGACACAGCAATCTATAGTGACTAAATGTCACGCCAAGGATGCCAAGAATTCGATAAATTCTGCCTTTTTTTACTATTTGCCACGGTGGTGCCATGTGGCTGCTCTTTATCGCGCTGTGATTGCGGCGGCCGTATGCGCATTTTTTTCACTTTTCACCGGTAAATGCAGCTTCGCATCCGGATTTCCTGGGGTGTCATCTGCAGGATTCCTGCAATTCTTTCCTGGCAAATGCTGTGTGCTCATGTGGATTGATGTGCATTGATCTGGCTGAATGATAATATTTGACCAACCTGAAGAGTTCGACCATTTGGGGATGATCGCCCCAAAAATCAGCTATGACCCGCAATGCAGCGACTCGCCCCGTCCTCCAGAATTCTCTGACCCTGGATGGCACTCTGATACGCATCTTCGGATGGAACCAGGTTGCCAGGAACATGGACTTGCCTTAGGCCAATCAACCCCTTGAGCCAGGCGTTGGGATAAGTTATTGTTTGTTTGAGCATTCTCATGGGCTTTACTGGCAATATATTAGGGCATCAAACTTCCAAATTTGGCAGTCCCTGCCCCCACCACTTTCCACACACTTGAGAAAAGAGTAATTGCAAGAGATAGCAATCGAGCTTGGATCGCTGTTTCCAACCCACTGAAGTTTGGCGGGTTCTCCCTCAGCACTTGGGTTGTCAGAAAAACAATTGTGATCACTGCGCTGCAGGAATATTGGCGGAAACCACTATTACTTGGAAAAAATGGTGGTTTCCTGCAAATTTTCCTTTGTTCACTTCAGGTAATGAAATAATCCCACCCCCCATATATTGTACAAACCCTCCTAAATATGTGTCAATTCCTGTATATACTACTATCTGGTTTCTGGGTGGTGTTGAATATCGGAGGGAATGGGGGTCAATCGTCCAAGAGTCAGTATGACTTGGCGTCGGTTTTCAACACCAGACTGCGGCTTAAAGGGCACACCTGCAGGGGGCAATTCACATGTTCAACGATGTGACGACGGAACTGACCCTTGATACCCTGCACAAAAACAAGACACAAAGTCGTTACACCTTCTCTTGGAATAGTTATTCAATACAGTTGTTCCAAAACCACTCTATTGCCCATTGATCTATTCTTATTTTTTTGACCAACCCGACGACCCAACGAAGCTTTACCCAAACAAGCGGGTACTGTGTGCACTGAAAAAATAGCACATTTCGTTCTTGCAAGTGTGACATGCTCTTTGCGAGGGGCAAAACCATGGGAATTCAAATTCTCTCTGGAGAGATTCAACATATGCGGTCAAGTCATCGAAAATCGATGGTCAACTCTGAGTGGCCAGCGCGATTCCACCCGTTGTTTCTTCATATTTGATGTATGCTCTTGCCGTGGCTAATCTTGGATTCAGTTTGTTTATTTAAACCTCATTAGACTCATTGGCTTCTAGCCGCATTTATGACAACACTATATTAAAGCATGAAATATAGTGTATATATATAATATCTATAATCCCCTCAAAAACAGAACCATATTTCCAAGATGCTATAGTTTATGATTCATGCGTTTTTCATCATTTACATATTTCCAACTTTTCTGTCTTTTTGAGGGCTACTATCAAGTACCAAACTATGCATCACCAGCTGGTTTACCCCTATTTGCCACGGTCAACTCGCCATCTCTCGTTGCTTAAGCCTACGGCAACCGTATTTTTTCATGGTTAAACAGTTCAACACCCCCATATCGATCCAGTGAGCATTCCATTACCACCCATTGTATCCCATGAATTCCCAATAATCGTTGCCATTGTATCCCATTCATTCCATAAACTCTTCCAGTAGCCTATCCACTGGTAAACTAACATATCTATGGCAACTGACCAATCTCTAGATGATTTACCTATCGAAATTTGTGATTTGCCATAGTTACCCTTGGATAATCACACGTTGCTTGCTGGAAGATCTCCTATTGTAGATGATTTTTCCCTTTATAACATCTCCATTTTTTTTCGGGGATTTCCCAGCTAGCCATGTTTGATGACACCAACAAGTAAATCCATTAATGTTCTATGAAATCTCACTAAAATCATATAAAACCATATTCTATTTAATAGGTGTAAATCTAAAATCCCTATTAATGTTCTATTATCTCACAAAAATCTCATTACACCTAGATTCTCTTTGGGATTCTATCACCATGAACTCCCGTGAAGCCATCCCTATTGAGGCTATCATCCGACCTGGCGTGCTTTGCGGTGTGCTCTGCGTAGTGACGGAAAAGTCCGTCATCTCCCAGTGCACCTGGTGGCGCACCGAAGAACTGACGACTTTTTTTGATGGGGAGAAATGGTATAAAAACCTACCGTTGTATTAAAACCTACCGTTGTATTGGGGATATAATGGGGTAATTGGTGTAATGGGGATATAATTGGGAAATCATGGGAGAGAAGGCATTGTATGGATGCAATGAGAATGGGTGTAACAACCTATATGGCATCATGTGGGGATTTCTATGGAATACAAAGGTTTCAAAGCCAAGTAGTTGCGTTGTTGAAGCGAATTTGATGGCTTATCATCACGTTTCCTATAACAATGCCCATTTTGTGGAGTTACCCCATGTTTAGAGAAAACCCAACTATCATATTTTTGGTTATGCCTCCCATGATAAATATCTGATATGCCCACAACATAGCCCCCATAGGCCCATGACATATCCTCATCTAAATATCATTAACCTGGTATTACTGATGGTTAAATCCAGATTGTTGATGGTTTATCCAATGGTTCCATGCCGTATCCATTGTGTACCTATTAATTCTCTAGTGGCTGGTAACTATCCCTATTACAGGGTTGCTCCCAACACCCCAAATACAAGGGGCTGTTGAGGCGACTTTTGTCGGTTAAGCCATGAATTCTTCGCTGAAATCCCATGAAGATCAGGTAGAAAAATCCCATGAAGTCACCATTTCCACTGGGTTACCCTCTGGTAAACTAACATAGCAATGGAAAGATCCACCATTTTGTAGCTGGGAAAATCCACGATTTCTATGGCCATTTTCCATAGCTTTTTGTTAGTTCACCAGAGGGTTAAATCCCATGAAATCACCATTCTTTGATGGTTTAGATCCTATAATTTGCCCGGCTTCCTGCGGATGCTGCACCTCCCCTGGGCGACGAGTGGTTTTTCGTGGCGTTGGCCCAAGCTGATCCTCCACCTTGACCTGCGCCTGGGCGGGTGACATAATGGACGAAATGAGATGGGGCAAACCTAGAGAGTAAATAGTGGGATTTAACAGGATTTGATGGTATTTGATGGTATTTGATGGAATTTGATGGGATTTGAGTGTGATCTACTGGACATATAAATGGGAGCATCAACCACACCCATCCATCTAATAATAGAGACACCGTCGAAACCATGGCTTAGTACTTGGGGTATGGGATTATACAAAATCCAATCATAGCAAACAAACATGCTGGTATGATGGGGTTTAGATGGGAAAAATAGGTGCTAAACCAATGATGATCGGGATATAGTGGGATAATTATGATGGGCCAATGAGATAATTATGACATACAATGGGATGTCCAGTAATGACATACAAAATCATGGAATCATGGAATCATGGCCGATCTTAGATGCCTTACAGAGAAAAGATATGAGAAGTGCTCAGTAGACATTCCCGTTGATGGCAACAGAGCTATTGCAAGATGTTGACAACTCCAACTGTCTTCAGGGTCTGGCTTTTCAAACCCTTAGTGGCGGAATAAGGAACATGGGGTATGGGCACTAAGTATTGTAACGCACACGCAGACAGACATACCATACCATACCATGCCATAACATGCCATGCCATGCCATGCCATGCCATACCATACATACTAGTACCATACACAACATAACATTGCATTGCATTGCAGTACAGTACATTACATTACATTACATATATATATATATACACATCTAGCAATCAAAACCTAGCAGTTATCCCAAGCATTGTCCGATTGTTATCCCATTATACCATTATTATCCCCATCATTGTCCCATTATTATCCCAATATAATCCAATATACCATGATTATCCCCATCATTATTTCACTATTATCCCATTGTCCCCATCATGATCCCATTATCCCATCATTCTCCCATTCTTATTCCCATTAAACCAGGGGTTTTGGTTGATGACCCCACTTGACACTGCCGAAGTTGACGAGCAGAGCACCTGGCACCAAGGATGGCGGCACCAACGGCCCATAGATGGTGCGGCGCCAAGGGCGAAACGCTTCCGCTCCTGGCGCAATGGGATGGGACTAAACCCCTAGGAACCTCATGGGTTTCGAAAAATGGTTTAAATCTGACTCCCTGTAACTTTTCTTAAAATTCTTGGAGATTTGTGCAATATCTCAATCTCATGGGTTTCAGGGTTGTTTTCTGTGGAAAAAATGCAGGGAAATCGGAAAAGCATCAGGTCAAAAACCATGGTTTCCTTTAATTTTCCCAATCAAGCATCCTAATGATCATGGCAATCTCATAGGGTGTGGCTGTGAGACATGCCGTACCAATGGATCCGGAATTTGTCGGTCACTTCTAATGTTAAACAAGCCTTGGTAATGTTGACCAGTGACCATTTGGACACACACACATATATATATATTATATAAATGAGAATGATATTAAACAATAATGAGGGTTGTAACAGAAACAAACGTATGCGAATGGATGGGTATCACAACGTGTGTCTCTATCACTGCTAAATTGTGTCCTTGTGGTAACATATGTAGCGGTGGGTTTTGGACCATTTGCCTGAAATGCTTGTGGAGAATACTGGGTGCCCCTCTATCAAGTAACCAACCAGTGGTAAACCACCAGCCTGCAAACTGGGTCCCAGTTTTGGGCAGGGCCAGAGGCCAGTCCTCCTCTGCCCAGCGCTGCTCCACACTTTCTGGCGCTTCGCTGGCTTCACCTTAGATGCCACGTGGCTGGTGATGGAAATTCCACAGGAGTATCGAACCTCATAACAAGGAACGTGGGACAGTGATTCACCAGCTCAGTCAGGCGGACAATCAGGTCTATTTATCCTGTTTCTGAAAGCCCCCTGTCTGATCCAAATAAGTGCGGCTTCCCTTCAGGCTTTGATCGTCCCTCTGGGAGCACTTTGGCACTATAGGATAGGAAGGTCAACTGCGGCCTGTTGAGGGCCAGCTCCGTCCATTGGGTTCTTGGACAAGAAGACTTGCTGAAACTCTTCTCAGCCTGTATGAAAATAGGTCAGGCTTGATTAAAAAAATGAACGCTGTTATTTCCCCCCCAAAGCAAAGCACACATCATTGATCAGTGAAGTGATGGCACCATGACAAAAATGCAAGTTCACGATTTTGAGAACCCAATGGTTTCACAACTCACCATCACTGAAAATTTAAGCATATTTGATATACGCCTGTTTTTGTTTTCAACGAGTTGCAGTCTCCGAACCGTACTTGCGGAATGCGCAGTAAAGGAATTTCGTTGGCGCGGCCACCGCCTGTACAAACATTCTGAGGCATGATGAGACACAGAAAGGACATCCTCACATTGACATATATGACTTATATGACCCCTGAGCTGGCAATTCCGTGCAATTCCTAGATCCGAGTTGTGGCATCCGTGTCAGTGTTCGGGGGTTCGTACTTCAACTTCTGTAAGTCAACCAGCGAACTTGCACCTGGCTCTCTAAGATGGCAAACAATCTGTCCATTCGTACCCCCAAAGTTGGTTGAATGGGTAAACTTGCAGGACTCAGGGTGCAGGTTCATAGGAGAGATACCCTTCTCAGGATTAGAGCCCGCCATTTTGGGCACGCCCATTGGAGTCCCATATGGGGTCCAGTGATGGGGTAGAAACTCATACAATTTTAAGCTGGAAGGCCCATGAAGATCTCCATTCTTCCACCACCAGGGTCTAGTTCATGCTGACTGTACTCCCAAGATTATCGCTTTTGGACACATTTGGGTTGTCTCAAGATTTGGAATCTCAAAATATCTCAAAATGCCATCACCATTTTCCCGGTGAAACTGGCAACAGTTTCAGTATCAATTTTTGGGAACCTCCCATTATGCATCGTTTTGCGACGAGATGCGACAAAACAACATCCATTCATTGTTGTTGAAATCTCTACTTCTGATGTTTCCCCATTTTGGTTGGTGAAATCCCAATGATAGATTGTAAAACCCTATGATGTTCCATTATTACAACCATTGACAGATTGCGTCACCAATTTCGATGATGATTACATGGTTTCCCCATGATAGTTTCTCAACCCAGTATTTTTCCACCATCTCTGCTATTCTGAAACCATTTTGTCCATTAAACCCACCATTTTGGCCACTGAAACCACCATTTCTTCATCTCTTCCACCTTCCCAGGCCCCCTGTGTTCGCCTGCCATCGTCAAATCTCAGGGATCAACGGCACATGATTGGAAAGTTGGAACATCAACCAATCGATATAATATGAACACCACATGTACATATCAATTATAGAGATTGAGTATTCCACCATTCTACATCTGTAAACCAATCAATTCGTTTTATATCATTACACCCGCAAATATATTAATATTAAAAATAAGTATATGTATATGTACATATACACACGCTATAGGTATACACATGGTAGATGCATAATTGCATATATATATATGATTTTCACATCATTTTACACCTAAGCTAAATGTGTTTGCATAAAAAAAACACGACCAGCTTCAGCCGTCACCCTTTGAGCCGCAAGGAGTTGGAAGCTGAACTGGGTGTGATATCATGCAAATGGGAAAAATATATAGATACGTATGTATGTATCTTTGTGTATCTATTACAGATATATCTATATACGTATACATACACATAAAAAAACAACAACATTGGGTTTGGACCAACAGCAATTAACTTGCTGCTGACCCCAAAGCCAGTCCCATCTCTCTCAAACGTGCTCTTACGTTGATTGGGATTGTCATCTGATTGGGATCGTCATCCCACTGGACGAGGATGGATGATAACTTGCAATCCAGCTATAATTTGGAATTGCTAATGGGTTTAATATGGATGGATTAAAATGGATTAATGGGATTTAGATTTAGCCATCAAACATGGTGGTATAATATAGTATAAATGGGATATAATCATTGTGTATCATCGTGTGCCACTCTTGGAATCAACCGCAGCTGGTCTCATCCTGCACAAATGATACAAATGCGCGCTCAAGATGTTCCTGCTTACCCAACACCTGGCGTGGCCATTTTAAATCACTTCCTTGAATGCCATGATTCCAGGATTCCAGTCCCATTCGAGGGAAAGACATTTCAGACTGGTGAATCGAGGCCAACCCAAATCAAGAACACTCACACGCAGAAACATGGCAATTGGGGAATGGCGTCTGCAACACCACTGAAGTCAGCTGTGGTCTTTTTCTTCCAACGCGAAGTCTTTTGCTGCGGCATCACACCGCTTGCCTGAGATGGATTTGCCGAAGATGGTGATTGTTCAGTGCAAAAAAAGCACCTCAGGCCACTTGGGCTTCTCTGAAAATGCAAGCCCCCCACTATTTTAAATAATCATATAGTCTTTAACATCATTTTCTCCCTTTACCGGGCAATTGGTGGTAATTATACCGTACCCCAATTTGGGACAAACCCAGTTGAATCCGACAAGGCAAATATGGATCAACATTGGGGCACCATGGGGTACCAACGGGGCAAACACCAAGGGGTTTTGTTGTGGCAACCGGCCACTTTGGTATTGGTTGGTCATCTTGATCCATACCCATCTTACCTGCAACAGTCGACAAGCCACAAATTCTCAGCTTTGATCGACTTTGACACTCCATCGACCAATACTTCGTACCTGAAGGAGTGCGATCAACATGCAATCCTTCTTCGGGGAAAAAACAAACCCACTCCCCCAAATCTTCACACTTGACATTTTGACACAAGATTCAACCATTTTTTCAACTCTATGCTCTCTATGCCAAGTTTGCAGGGCCTGGAGTTGTCGTGGATGTAGCGATTCACCTCAGCCACGCAGCCATTCAGCGCCTGGCTGCGATGGCTGTGGGGTCAACACCATTTTTCATTCACACAAAATGCAATTCCTGCAAACATAACAAACTAACACAATTAAATCAAATGTTGAATGATTTTTTTCAGTGACATATATTTGATTTAGAAATATACATGCTCATCATTAAAAAATAAAATTCCAACTTGCCAACTGTTTCCCTGGGACATAAATAGTCATAAATGTGGAAAACCCATCATTCGCAGATCATTCAGGGAAACAGTTGGTTTCCACATCTTTTTGTATGTTTACCCTGGGGTACCCTCTGGTAACCTTACATAGCTATGGAGAATGGTCAGGACAAAAACCCATCTACAATCGAAACATGCAATCCTTTTTGGCAACATGTTCGAAACATGACAACAAGGCATGGATTAAAATTGGGATGCAACATCTAGGTTTAGCATCGGAAAATTGCTTTTCTTTTGAACGCTATAAGCACTTTGTGGGTTCCATGTTAAATCTCGGAGGCGCACGCACACACAATGGGATGCAAAATCAATCTCTATCATGACCAGTCCACCGCACTCATCCCACTTTTGGTCTTCATCGCCAGTCTTCTTTGATTCATTGCGCCCCCAGTTGGTTGAAGTGCAGTTCCAGTGCAGTTCCAGTGAACGAAGTAGATCTACGACCATAGCTATAAGGCTTACGTCCCAATGGGGGTTATTTCACCATGGTTACCCTCTGGTAAACCAACATAGCTATTGAAAATGGCCATTTATAGTGGATTTACCCATTAAAAATGGTGATTTTCCATAGTTATGGGACAGTTTACCAAAGGGTATAGCCTATAGCCATAGAAGTAACCTCTGACCTGCACCACAATAGCCTTCGTGTTCCCCAGTTGGTTGGCCGCGCTGCGCCCTGCTGGCCTTTCCCGTCTCGCTTTGGAGGTTTTGAATCCTCCAAGGGCCAAGAAGGAATTGGACCAAACCGGGGAAATTTCAGCTCCAAAGTTACCTAAAAAAGATATGGGCATATATATATATATGTGTGTTATATATTTGCGCGCACATATCGCCAGAAAAAAAAGGGATGCTATATATAAGCACCAGAGCTACTGTAAATGCAGAGAGCATTTGGATGTTGCGATAAGCTGCAAAAATACTGGGAATATCACCAGTACAAACATGGCAGAACTGTCAAATTTCAGGGGTGCAACCGGTTCTTTTGCGACAAAGGATGCAACTGGGAATCAACTCTCACCTGTGGAGAATCTAAATGTTTCCTCCTGAAGTGCTGGGTAAACAAATTGCTAGCTTTTCTTGTGAGCAATCATCGGGCTGGTGGTTTTCAAGCAAAACAAATATGTCTTTGAAGCCACCAAAGCAGCCACCGTGGAGCCAAAAAGAATTTGCCACACTGAGATATCTCAACTTTGGTTCCATCTTTTGGGTTCCAGAGGGAAGGAGGCTCAACACTAGCAACCTTCATGAACTACCACAGGTCATACATACAATTCTTTCCCCCGATATGAAGATCTATTAAGCACCCTCAAGGAAGCCCTGGTTTCGTGATCTGATCATTTTGGAAGCCCATTTCAAGGGGACTTTCTCTACGAATTACCCTCTGGTTATTTAACATAGCTATGGTATAGGGCCCATAGAAATAGATGATTTTCCCATTAAAACCTCCATGTTAAATAACAAAATGGTAATTCTGTAATATTCGGGGTAGGGGACTGTCTTTGACGGCCATCCAAGGTTGACCCTTTCACATGGTGCCTGCACTGCTGGCCAGGAAGCAACACCACATGCTCCCCTGCAGGTCTGAGATTTTCAGCACCTTGACAGGTGACGTCCAACAAATCCCTTCACCCAAGGAAGTTTTACTCGAGGAATGCCCCAAGAAACGCGCATTTAGTGGAACTGAGATTGGGGAGATAGCATTACTTGGAGGATCATCGTACCTAGTAACGGGTCAGTAGCTGGGGGAAGAACCCAGCCACAAAGAGCGAACCTCAGTTAGTGGACGCCTCATCCAGGGGTTCCAACTGGGGTCCATACCAGTACGGAGGGTGTTTTTCTGGGGGGTGGCATGATTCTGAGCAGTTGATAGTTTCTACGTGTACATATATAGATATAATGTGCATATATACATGTATATGTGTGTGCGTGCATATATATATATATAACATCGCACACACGCACACGCTCACACACATATACATATACATATACATATACATATACATAAACATAAACATATATATATATACACATACATATACATACACATACATATGCATATACATATACATATACATATATATATATAAATACATACATATATATACACACATATATATATATACATACATGTATATACTATATACAAACTATATTATATGTTTTATTTGTTT